TATTTGTTTTTCGTTCATTATTTTGTACATAAATTAGGTCGTTAGTTTTCTCGTTTGAATTGTTTTACATTTTTCATTTCGGTGCCTTTTTAAGCTTACAATGTGGTATGGGCTTTTCACATTGTTGTAGGCCGTACGGTGACCTATAGTTGTTACTTTCTATGTCATTTGGTCAATTGTGAAGAGTTGTGTCATTGGCAATCATACAACATCTTTTTTTTTATAGTACATGGTATTGTTCACACATGTTCATGATTTACAGATATATTGTATCTGATTAAGACGCCTACAGTGAGACATGGTATACACACTAAGTGATAAAAAAAAGATAGTTTGATGCAATGTTAGTATGCTCTTTTATCATTTATTATTTACAAAATGAATGATGTATAAAACATTCTCATATCATCACTGTTTTGAGTAGTATTTATTTCTATTTGACGAAAAAAAAAAAAGATTGAAGCTGAAGTCATTTCAACAATAAACATACTATATATGTCGCTATTAAGTCAATTGAAATAAATCCATGAGCGAATTCCTATGATTAAATGTTGAAAAAAGGGAAATTATTACAAAATCTATTTAACTACGCGTTTATTATTGTAAATGTCTAAACAGCAGTTGTAGAAATTGGCATTATATAATTTATGATTTTCTCAATGAATCGTTTTTGATTTTGATGTTTCCAGTTTTTTAAATGAAAGAATTTAATATTATTGGCCAGGTTTTTTTGGTCACAAAAATCTAATCATTAGTGGTAGAACTTGATATATGGCTTTGTTTTGCGTATGTAGATAAGCATTCTGTAACCCTTTTGTTGATGTATGTTTTATTCTAATGCATGGAGGCTCCCTCGCTGACATTTATACAAATTTACTTTACAATTGAGAATTGAAATGGGGAATGTGTCAAAGAGACAACATCCCGACCGAAGGACAGAAAACAGCCGAAGGCCACTTATGGGTCTTCAAAGCAGCGAGAAAATCCCGCAACCAGAGGCGGACTTCAGCTGGCCCCTAAACAAAAAATTGTACTAGTTCAGTGATAATGGACGTCACATTAAACTCCAAACATATAAATGAACTAAAATTTAAAAAAACATACAAAACTAACAAATGCCAAAGGCTCCTGACTTGGGACAGGCGCAAAAATGCGGCGGGGTTAAACATGTTTTGTGAGATCTCAACCCTCTCATATACCTCTAGTCAATGTTAAATAAACAAACACACATCAATACGCAAAGGAATACTCAATTTAAAAGAAGTCCGAGTCCGATGTCAGAATAGGTAACAAAAGAAACTAGGCAAAATGATACATAAATTAACAAAATATTACAAAACGTTACTGACATGCCAGCTCCAGACCTCAATTAAACTGATTGAAAGATTATGTCTTCATCATATAAAAATCAAGCACAATTCCTCCCTTCAGGGGATTAGTATCATACCATCATAAATTATACCAGAAGAACATAACCTGTATCATGCCATCAACTGGTTTAAGAATAGATGTGTTTATATCCGACGTAAAGACACTATGAGTGAATCAATATTAATTCCAAAATATATGCCATCTTTATTGACCTGACAACAGTATCGTAACTATATCCCTTCTGAATAAGTCTGTTTAAAGGTTTGGTTAGATTTCGAGGTGAATGCCGACATTTTTGTGCTTTGTATAGAATATTAAAATAAAAGATTGTATGTGAAATACCTGAACGTATAAGATATCTGCATGTTAATTTATATTTACGAATTATGTCCTTGTATCGATGATTAAATTTAGTAAATGTTTTGACTAGTTTGTGGTATCGAAAACATTGGTGTAATAATTTTTCAGTAAAACAGAGATTTGTGTCGTTAAAATCCAATACGTTGTTACATACACGAGCGATTCGAAAAAGTTGAGATACATAAACACCATTAAACACCATAAGATGGTGACAAGGGAAAGTCACCATCTAAAAATGGATAATTAACAATAGGAAATGAAAAATAAATTCTTCTATCATAAATTTTGGTATTAAGCCTCCTGTGGAAGAAAGACATATCAAGATCCAGGAAAGTGAAGTGTTCATTGTTAATATTAGCTTTATTCAAAGTCAGTTCAGCAGGATAAATCTCTTTAGTGTACATACTGAAGTCGTCATTATTGAGAGCCAATATATCTACCAAATATCTGAAAGTGTTATTAAGTTTTTGTATCAGATGTTGTTTTGATGGGTTTTTGTTGATTTTAGTCATAAATTGTAACTTATAATAATACAGAAAGAGGCCCGCAATAAGTGGTGCACAGTTAGTTTCCATTGGAATTCCGATTACTTGACGATAACATGACGACATACGGAATCCCCACCCCATATTCAAGGAATTCAAGGGAAGTCATATTATCGAGTCAGGACAAACTCCTTTTGTTTGTTGTTACAAAAAGAATACATAAAAGAGTTTGAACATATACATTCGCATTCTGACTTTTTTAAATGCTCATTTCATTAGGTGTGCGATTTTTTTCTTAATAAGATTATGAGGCAAAGTGTTATATAGGGTTGAAAAATCAAAACTTTGAAAAGATCACCAATATAAGCTTGCAAGTTATCAAGTACTTCCAACAAATTATTAACACTCAAAAGAAATTAATTCCACAATTTTCAAAGGCCTTATTTGAACAATTTCACCAGGTTTTTGGTCGTACCAAGTGTACTAGTACGTAACTATGTTTACAACGTGGTATTAATTGCTTCATACATCCTCATTTTCGAAATAATCTGTGTAATAAAGAAATCCTTTACTTTGTGGGGCTGTAGAAATTGCAGTACTTACCTACCAATCTAGAGAATGTGTAGTCAAGTTGTTAACGTCAATGCAAATTTATACGGTTTACCTAATTTATCCACATGTTTATGCATCATATAGTGAAAAAGAACTTTTCTTTTATATCTTTTTATCTGCCAAAATCAAGAATAAATATTGCGTTATAGAAAATGCATCTTTTAAGTCGTGTGATACGACAAGGAAAACTTACCTGACTCGTAAACCGAGAAAAAATTGCAACTAATTGCAGGATGTGTATCGTTATTTATCGATAACATTATAGTGGAATATTCTTTTTTTTTTGCGTTTAAGAATAACTACACCCGAAGAAGATCACTGTCTAGTCTACACACAAATTTTACTGTAAATGCATGAACAAGAAACAAATGAATGGTTACCGTGTATGAAAAATACAAGTCAGTATATGTTTACCTTATAATTGGATGATGCTGTGCTTTTGTCTCTATTGGATAAAAAGCCAAGTTGATTTGAAAAAGTAATAAAAAATTTTAAAGGTGATTATCTGAATTCTATCTTTTTTTACCTATTAGTCAAATCCTTAAACTTGACAGCAAGAAACCAAACTACCAAACAACCTGGCATTCTCTAAGATCAATGTATAATTGAAATAGCTTTAAAATTTGATGAAAATCCAAGTTGATTTGAAAAAGTTATAGATAAAATTAAAGGTGACTTTCTGAATATAATCAAAACTGAAAATTCTAGCTTGTCTTACCTATTAATTAAATCTTTAAATTTGACAGCAATGAACCAATCTACCAAATAACCTGGAATTTTGTAAGATCAATATATAGTTGAGTTAGATGGGCTGATTCAGACCAGTCGAGACTAAATTTAAAGGTCAAGACTAAGTCTAGACAGGTCGAGACAGGTCAAGACAAGTCCAGACTGGTCAAGACTGGCCGAGACTGGTCAAGCATTTGTCAAGACCATATCAGACTATACCAAGGTTTTCAAGTACTGAATCAGACTTATTAAGTAAGGTCGAGACCAGAGTCGAGTACAGTTAAGTACAGTTTAGTACTGTCGAGATTATGTCGAGTCTTGTCATGTAAAATCTGTGCTGGACTTACTGGTCGAGCACAAAATATGGTCTTTTCAGACTCTGAGCAGTAAAAACAAACAAATATGTCAAAAAAGAAAAACAAAAAGCCATATAGACAAAACACATAAGCAAAAATGAAAGACAAGAATACAAAAAATTACCAAAGCACAATGACAATATGGCGGGATGTATAAGTACCGAGCCACGCCTCAATTGTCTCAAGATCAGACTTATTCGAAATTGTACATTAATGCAGAATTAAATGCTTCCTGTTCGTTGTTTACGAAAAAGAATGTATTTTATTCAAGTTATGTGTATATTTATTTGTTAGAATTACAGTCATAAAGTGAATATTGTTAAATTACAGACAAATCTTAAGGAAATGTGTGTTAAAACATTAGCATGCTGGAAAGTTCTAATTCAATTTGTGAATCACAGTTTCATCAGTATTATATTTCTTAAAAACAATAACCTCTTGGTCGTAGTTTGTATTGATCCAGACCTTAACATTTGAAAATCGGGGATGCATAAACGTTTGGAGCTACAAATGTACATGGCTAAAGTATGTTTAAATAGGATAACAATATTTTTCAACAGGGTTATAATTATGACATTACACATATCATTATTGTATACCTCGAAACACATGTCATTGAAACTTGGTATCTTTCGGGTTAATTCCTCAAAAGAAAGTCATTTCACTCTAGGTATATATAAACAATGTTTGTCCATGTCTTTTGAAAAGTTTCATCTACAACGAAGTGTTAGTTGTGGTTTGAATGTTTTCTTATCTTATCTTATATCTTATATTAGAGCTTAATAAGTAATTGCAAGTGCGTTATTTTTTCGATACTTAGGAAAACTCTTAATTGTAGCCTCCAGTGTCTTAAAATCAAACTTATTCGAAATTGTAAATTTGAAGAATTAAATGCTAACTGTTTGTTCTTCACGAAAAAGGTTGGTTTTTGTTCAAGTTCTGTTTATATTTATTTTTTAGTAATACTACTATAAAGTGAAAAGTAAGTTATATAGTCAAATTACAGACAAATCTTAAGCAGTTTAGGATATGTCTGTTAAAAAATAACATGATAGAAAAATAAATTACCATGCTCTGAGTTGTATCAGCCTAAAGTATCTTAGAATTAACATTGTATTTAAAATAATGAAAATAATGACTATTCAATTTCTGAATCTGAATTGCTTTAAACTAGTTATGATGACGATAAAATGTATAAGATGACTGTAAGGTCATGCCTGGTTAATATAAAGAGCACACTTAACCTGGAGAAGATATAAATCTACTAAATCTGTCACTTTTTGAAATCAGGGTTACAAGCAAATCCATATCATCAAATATATTATTGTGTTCATATTCCGCAGTACTGCATTACCAGTATCCTTTTCTGGAAGTTAACTGTTGCCGCTAGACGGTTTTCTAATATACATCATTTTCGTTTCTAGTTTCTGATTTGAGAGTTGACGAATAACCGTAGTCATTTACGTCTGTCGTTACTGTGTCTGTATGATCATAAACATCGTTATCAAATTGAAGTTTCCTTCCCCCATGGTTGGAACTGTCGTATGTTGGGTCATTTTCATTACGAATCCCTGCATGACTGTCATATAAATTTTCCTTTGAATCTGTTTGCTGTTTCGATACCCCATTTAATCGATCATATTCTCTGTATGATGTTTCAGTGTAAGTTTTGTCAGATTTTTGTAATTTTGAATTCGTTTTTCTGATTTTGTTGACGACTGCATATGTGTGGACAGAATTGATTGAAGCTAATTCATATGATTCGTTAGATGTCGGCGTCACACTTGTTCTAACTGCTGGATTTTGTGAATGCTCATCGAACTCTGTTGAGAATTGGACTTCTTGCTTATCAGTATTAATCGTTTTGAAAAGTCCACATGACCTAAAAATAACATGTAATGTTAGATTGCATCTGTGAAAATAGATAGATGATGAAAAAAGGGATATTCATTGGGTAGAACACAAACAGACAATAATGTCAATTAAAAAAAGAAGGAAGTTATCGACAAGTCCATAAAATATTATACGGAAAACTTGGAAGTTAGCAACAAAACGCCACATACAAATGTCGGTGCACTCGAAGTTCACGACGAGTGCAGAAAATCATTGTATAGTTTATTATCTTACCTCCTATACATTTCCAGGAATATGATTAGTTAAAAGCAACAGCTTATACTTCATATGGGATTATTAGGCGGGGCTTATTTCAATACACGGTTAGGAGTGGTGTTACGTCCCATTATAAAAACAACACGGTGTTGAGGAAAAATCTTAATGTTTCAACAGACGTCGAAATTGATGATGAACGATTGAAATGAATTCATAAAACAAATCTAAAGCTAACAAGTTGTTATTGATGGCATTTGTTTTCGAATAAAACAATGGAAGTGTGTTCGTAATACTAAGTATTGAAGACTTAATCACTTTGATAGGCTACTGGTCTAAATACCACATATTACAATAGTCGGTAAGATACATTCGTTAAACAGTGTACTAGTGTAATAGTGACCTAATACGATATATATGGGGTTATTAAATTCCATATGGGGATTCACGCTTCGCTCTCACCCCATATGGAATTTAATGACCCCATATATATCGTATTAGGTCACTAGCACACCATGTAACTAACAATATCCAATACAGTGTTATGCTATTATGCAGCATTAGTTCCTATAATCAAAATATAATAAGAAATGCATATAAATGTGCGTAGTATTTCAGACTTTGGTTCCCACGCCATGTTTCAAGGAAACAAATAGTCAAGTTACAAGATCTTTAAACAAGTTGATTTTTCATTTTCCTGTTTCAAGTTCAACAACTATTCATTGTTTGTCTTTGTAATCTTTTAATGTTATAGTCATATTGCTGTCTTCCCGGCCATTACCCATACTTCATTTAATTCAAACACAGCGGACCAGATGCAAGTATCAACCGTAACACAAACGTCAGCTACCACAAGAATACTTCAAACACGCAAATGAAGTCAAATGGATAAGTTGAATCAATTACATTAAATAAGCAGGTAGTAATTTGGGACTATAATGCAGTAATGATAAGAAAACATGTGTAACAGTGCGTACAACACATCAAGGTAGTGATAATTCAACCGTTAAATTTTCAACGTGCATGTTATAATTTTGGTGTAAGATATCAACCTTTGTGTATTGATATCATATATTTCTCGGATATACTGATCAGATTTGATACTAAAAACATCTGCTTTTCAAACTAAAAGTTACTCTATGTTTTCCAGTCGAATGAAAGAGGTTCTCCATTCGTCTTGCTTTATCGTCCCTTGGTTCTTTTTATGTGTTTATTGCCTATAAAACTTTTACAATGTTTAATGTCTGACGTTCGGATCGGAGCTCAATTAACCTGAAATATAGTTTAATGTGCACATACATATCGTAAGACCCTATCATTTTGTTTGTTACGATATTCCTCCTTAAAAACAATCACAAATCCTCCCCGACCGTAAATACTGACAATGATTTTGGCCGTGTAAATCAAAACACCTACGAATCGGTAACACTTTACGTTATCCATTAACAGATTGCTTAAAAAGAACGATTTATGGGATTAAATTAAAAAAAAAATACAACACACTAGTTACAAAATCCACATGTTTGACAATCTTAACAGGAAAGTATTAAAATGAACTGTTACACTTTTCAGTTCGTATTAAATTATTTAAAACGACGTTAAATCTAGTCAATTTAAGAATGGAAAATTAAATGGATACTGGTTTCCAGCAACGCACTTCAGTTTGCAGCTGTGTAAAAAGATAATACAGATCCGTGTGCAATAGTGCGTCAACATATAAGGTAATAACTAAACCAAGATAAAAAATATATTTACCAATAGCAAATTCAGATTTATTTTTATAACAGTAAATGTTATGCAAATTAAAACACTATACTTAAATATAGCACATATTTATAATATCACCGTATTTTGCAGATTATCATCACTAACAAAACAGCCAATACTGCGATTGCACCAGCAATGCCGCCAATTACTGGACCTAACAAGAAAAGACAACAATTATGACACATATGTGAACAATACGTAAAACTTATACCCGACCGAAATATAAAAATAGGTGAATAAGAATTTGTTGTTATGAACCAGAACTTGACGGTCTTATTTCTTAGGCATTGATACATTTTCGTTCTTCTGAAATGTTCAGTTAAGTTGCACAAAAAATTGTGCTCCCAGATGTCTATGTTTTGAATTGCAAATTATATTTGATTATTATTAATAACTGTAAGCAGCTGTTAATCCAACAAACTTTCTAGTTTGTACCACTATACAAAAGAACTCGGTTATATGAGAGACAATAGCAAGCTGGTGAAGCCAGATGTGCAATTAAAGAATAAAATACCTATATCAAAACTGGCGTTTTGGTCTTTCTCTATTTTAATAGTAGTTGTTGTAGCAGAAACCTCACCTAGAAAAAATGATTAACAAATTTGTATACAAAATATCATGTTTTCACTTTTCTATGTTACTACAATGTCGATTTCTCTTAGTTTACTTTATTCGTGTAAAGCATTATTAATTTTGTTATACCCAAAGACAAGTGAGAATGTGTTCAAATATGCTCAGAAATGTGTTTATGTAGTGTTTCCTTCAGTTTTTGTTTCATTCAGCTTGATTTGTATCTTTAAATTGAGTAATCGTCTATTACTTTTTTGCTACATCGGAGAAACATAAAAGGATTTGTAAACCGAAAAAATTCTGACTTAAAATTGTACACGACTGCTTTTTTTCCATTCTTATCCTGTGATATCTTTGTTTTTGTAGTACCCCATGCACCTTAAAATGTTTGGAAGTAGATCTGTATTTACTGAGGTTAAAAATTATAAAAATAAAGAAATTCATCTCACTAAGTAAAAAGATCCCTTTTATCTTGATCGCATACTTTTATTTAAAACAAAACACCAAACGGCCAATTCCTGCAATTTGGGAGGTTTTTTGATGCATATTTGTCTCAAAAAAAAGAAATAAACTATTTAGTTTTTTTTTGTGCGTCCGAAGGGCTTTTCTGGAATGTAAAAGTCATTTTATTTCCGTTTTATTTAGGTTTTGGACGATTTACAGTTGTTATATTTTCAAACACTCATGCTATCTGCAAAAGTAATATTTGAATAAACAAACACAAGACATAAGAATTCACAGCAAATCTAGAAATTTTGCTTATACACATAATGGTACACCATTGCCCACATTCACAAGGTCTAAACAATCAACAATCTGTCGTCCCCTGTTGTGGCATGAACATGATGCCACAGGATGATGAAAACCAGCCGTACTTATATTGGGTACTAAGCCTGCACAAACATTTTTAAAAAGAACGATTTATCGCAGACTGCTTATATAACAGTTTTACAAAACATCTTCTATAATCCTGAGAACCATTCTGTCTATAGTTACAGATGGCCTTCAAAAATAATGATACAAAGTTTAATCAACCAGTGGGGTTTATCATATTTGGATTCTTTAAAATTCTAAAGAACTACTCGCTTATCAATAAACAAATTAGATAATTACGATTTTGCAATAATATTAAACCTTTTGCCTATTTTGCAAAAATGAAAACCATAGACACACATTTCTTGGTTGGGGTAACAAAAATCATACTTTGAGATTATTTACACTCATTCCATCAACATATACACTAAAACATTATAAAGTATTATACTGAATGCTTCAATTTTGTATTGACAACAGTTCATATGATACAGAACCTACACCTATCTTCAAAAAAGAAACTATTTTTCCGAGTTGTTTCATATCTCATAAACCCCAGTAAACATGACGTTGAAAATACTATCGACACTAAAACGTCGGCTTCATATCTAAATCTTTTTCTCGAAATTGACACAGTTAGTTTTCTCGTTTGAATTGTTTCACATTTTCCATGTCAGTACCTTTTACAGCTTACTATACGTCATATGTTTCTCATTTTTGAAGGCCGTGCGGCTACCTTTAAATGCTAATATCCACTTCAATCGAACATTGGTTAAGTGATGTCTTATACGCAATCATAACAGTTATCCTTGCTTTTATACAGACGGACAACTTCATAATAGAATCATGACATACGTAATTATCAGTTTTTCAATTGTCATATTTCTAGTATGTAAGACCAGTACCAAGTCAGGAATATGACAGATGTTTTTCATTCGTTTGATGTGTTCGAGCTTTTGATTTTGCCATTTATCTTTCCGTTTTAAATTTTCCTTGGAGTTCGGTATTTTTGTTATTTTACCTTTTGCCTAATCGTATGATTTAAATATCTTAAGGAATAATGTTACCTGTACACCAACTTTATTGACGCTTGTAACGTAAAATCTACTCCATCAGGGTTATGGAGAAGAACGACTAGAATCAAAACTTTAAAAGTTATAATGTCAACATCATGACCGATACGACCTGTCTGTGTCTTTCTTACAACTCTTTTTCTATCGTTGAGTTACTGGTTAGAAAACGAATGAGCCAAATTTTCTCTTGTTTGCATCATTTATCCAAATGACACATGTAGCATATAGTATACAATATTGGACGGAAAAAAATAGTACCTTTCTAACAAGCAAAAACCAAGCAAAAACGAAAACAATGGGACCTTTATGAAAAGTTGCGCTTGAAACTTCCCCTGTCTCTCTATATCAATCAAACTTTGCTTTTGGATTGTTGAAGAAGTTGTACCGGAAGATAAATGAGCACAATTGGTTTCAATAAACGAATGTCCATATTTGCATTTATGTACTTAAATTTAACTTTTACTCTGCGAAACATTATAACAAAGTGCTCTTCCTGATCCTTTAAATGAAGGGTATATATAATCTTATAATGATACCCCGAATCACATATAATATGAAAATTTTCCAGCTTTAAAACGAGCTATGATACATGCACATATCCAGGTTTACGATATAGACAGAGGAATTGAAGACCATGTTTTTATCACCTAATACCTGAATTGAAGTGTACCTTTTTACCCATATGTGTTCTGTAATGTTGTCCATATAACAGTGCAATGAACTAGTGAACGTGTTTTATATACCTATTCTGCACAGAAACTCTAACTGGTCATTACAAACTCTTCTAGTAATATTAAGCACTCTTTTTTCAACCATTCCTGTAAACGAGCCTGCTAAACAGTAAAGCGGTAGTCTGGTACCTGCTTCGGCTGGAAATAATTTAAAATTTGTCATATATTTATATCTATTTAATATGTACTAATAAAGAATAACTATTGCTTAAGAGGCATTTCTGCCAAAGGGATAATCAAACTTTTTACATTCTCTTAAAGAAGCTCCTGCAAGAAGTCTGCATCATGCCAATAAAGAAACGAGTTAGCATGCGAACGCGGACTGTTTGTTGAAAAAGCCGCCCAAATGTAACAAATATGTTGTCAATCAAGAATCAAACAGAATGATACTGTCAGTTTCGGATAATTATTTGTTTGAATCCGAATGTTTTTCACAAAGTACGATTTATCTCTCCCTATGAAAAGATACATGTATCGAGATGACTATTCTTTTTCATTAAACAAAGCAAGACTAACTTTTTCAATTTGTCTTTAAGTATGTAGTGGTACTTGTTTGTACTTGTGAAAAGGGTAGAAATGTCAAATGTTTTAATACTATTGTTTCTGTCTTCACTGTCCACCAACTTCTAATGAAGGTAACATTGTAACATCCGTTACTATCATACTACAGAAATATGCCCTTGTTATCTGAATCCCCAAAAATGACTCAAATATTCATCATATACATATAATTTTTTTTTATGGAGTTCATCCCGGACGAAACCAAGTTTCAATAAAATCTGTTTTAAGGCATACAATAATGGACTGTGTAAGGTAATTATATTTCCTGATTAAAATGCAAACTATAGTTAAAACATTTAAACCATTTGATAATAACCGTGTGTTGTTGCCTATCGGGGTTTACTGTACACTTTTCCATCTTTATTAGTCTATAAAGGATTTAATCACAAAAAATCCTGTACTCCGTTTATTTGACTGAAATATTTTTATATTTTTACGGTATATTAGCCAGCAAATGCGTATTTTAAGGTATTTCATGTCGTATTTCACACTTTGGGATGTCAGGATTGCCCTAAAAAAAACCTCCCTACAGCCGGTATGTCGGTTGATCAATCCTGACACCACAAGGTATGTTATAAGACAAGAAAAACCTTACAAATGCATTATCTATAACATATTTATTGATTTACCTTGTGTCAACTTAGCTTCGGTTTCCGCTTTAAAAACGTTTGTCCATGAAGGATGTCCTTCGTTTTCATTATCTTGAATTTGGCAATAAGTTTCTGGTGATAGTAAAAGCTGCTGTCTATCCAGGCACAGTTGTTTGCTTTTTGAATACGATATGCCCCAAAAGGAAATATGTGTGTCATCTTGGAAAAAATTGAAGCAAGGGAGATAAAATATATGACTGAAGTTAGTATTATGCAATTCAAAGAATTTAAGGTGAAACACTAAATATAGTATTAGGTAAATCAAATTGTTTTTGGATCTCATAACACCTTATGTTTAGTCGAATTTAACAGTTGATTTTGAAAATATAGTGTAATGATTGTACACATTTTAATAAATATTGCTTTACAGTTATGAACACTAGTCTTGTGGCCCCTAATCCTGTCGATATACTTTATTTTGACATAAACAAGATCATACTTTACCAAGACTGCTTATTTAGTAGTCACTCAAGATTGTTGCACTTATCTCTGTTTTAGTCTTTGAAACATCATCTATTTATGCGTTAAAATAGGGCTATAAACAAACTTTCAGTAAAAATTTAAATCACAAAAATACTGAACTCCGAGGAAAATTCAAAACGGAAAGTCCCTAATCAAATGGCAAAATCAAAAGCACAAACACATCAAACGAATGGACAACAACTGTCATATTTCTGACTTGGTATAGGCATTTTCTTATGTAGAAAACCGTTGATTGAACCTGGTTTTTTTAGCGCTAAACCCCTGACTTGTACGACAGTCGCATCACATTCCATTACATTGACAACGATGCGTAAACAAAACAAACAGACACAATATGTAAAAATTTCACAAATAGGGATACAACAGTAACACGAACCCCACCAACAACTGGGGGTGATTTCGGGTGCTCCGGAATGGCAAGCAGACCCTGCTCCACATGTGGCACTCGTCGTGTTGCTCATGTTATTACAAAGCCGGTAAATAGTTTAATTTGGTAGGTCACACTCGTGAAAAGGGAACGGGATTGTAGTTACGACATAAGGAATATATCCGATATCATCTGTATAAAGTATATTCCATAACGGTCAACCAACTCGCGATGGCGTCAGTAAAATTTACGAAGTGATGATTTCAACTTCACCATTTGGAACTCTTGGTTTAAAAATGAAAAGATCACAATTAGGAAGCACAAATCATCTCTTTTGTCGTAAAGTTTTGTTTTCAACCGACCCTCATAGTCAATTTCTAGATATAAGTCCTAATCAAATGGCAAAATCAAAAGCTCAAACACATTAAACGAATGGATAACAACTGTCATATTCCTGACTCGGTACAGGCATTTTCTTATGTAGAAAATGGTGGATTGAACCTGGTTTTTTAGCGCTAAACTTCTCACTTGTATGACAGTCGCATCAAATTCCATACCGTAGTAACTGCGACTACGCTATGGTTGTGTTCACATCAAGTAATGAACACTATTTCACATTAACTTTGATCTCATCTGCACATTGGTTTTAAATACATGTACATACGAATTGTTCACACGTGTACAGTAGAAAAATTTTAAAAGTAGTGTCATATAGTGCGGAGACAAATCAAGAAAAAACTAAATCAACATTAGTCTAGATTAAACATTATAATATCATTTTAGCAGTGTCAAAGAGTTTTGCCGTGATGCAGATTTTTTATTTTCTCCTTATTAGCCTTTTTCATTGCACACACTAATAAATTGTTTCAGCACATGGACTTGCTGTCATAAATTTATTAATGGCCAAGTTTCTTGTTGAGTCACTCAATGCGGATAAAAAGACTATCTGAAGGTTATTCTTAATACCTGAGTTATACTTTGAGTTTACGCCAAATAAATTAGTATAAAAGTTAATTATTAATAATATTATAACATTTTTTTTTACAAATGTTTCCTCCTAGATCATTCATATTAAAATTCATGTTTTGAATATCTTGTTTATGTACCCTTAACTGGCTTACATTGATTATATACTGCTTTTAATCAAAACGTGATTAAAACTACATGTAAGCATGGATTTTTTTACTGGGAACGTAGCAAAGTTTAATTTAATGTTGGGGACGTTTACACTTTACGGAGTAAATGCATGTCCACGGCAAAAGGTAAACTAACAAAAATACCGAACTCCAAGGAAAATTCAAAACGGAAAGTCCGTTATCAAATTGCGAAATCAAACGCTCAAACACATCAAACGAATGGAAAACAACTGTCATATTCCTGACTTGGTACATCCATTTCCTGATGTAGAAATTGGTGGATTAAACCAGGTTTTATAGCTAGTTAAACCTCTCACTTGTATGACAGTCGCACAAAAAAATCAATTACATGTATATTGACAACAATGTGTGAACAAAACAAACAGACATAATAGGTAAAAATGTCAATATTTAGGGGTACAGCAGTCAACATTGTGTTATAATCTTAATCACTTTTAAAACAAACAACTATGTCAACAAAGAAAAACAAAACCAAGAGCTTGTCATCTATTGGTTTTCTTTGGTTGCTTTATGCACACGTGATTCATATGATTTCATACGGTTGAACGAAGTGAATTAGAGTGAAATTATTTTTTCTTGTCTTTTCATGATGTACAGATGTCGTACCTATCGTACGGTCAGTTTCACGCCGAAACGGGGCATTCGGTCATTCAGCACGACAGCGCCAAAGCGATCGGTTCTAAAATTACTTGGTAAAAATGTGTTGGTAATGGCTGAAAATGAGGAGTTATAAATTGATGACCATGAGGTTTCGCTTAGAGATGTTATGCAAGCTGTAACAAACCAAGGTGAATATTACACTAGTTTAAGGAAAGACATTTCAGATTTAAGACAAGAAGTTCTGGGGCTACTGTTTCTGTTACTTCCCAAGTAAAAAAAGGCAATTGATAACTGAAAAGTTGATTACGCACGAGATACAATCAAGGAAGTTATTGACAGATCAAAAGGCGAAACAAACTAATCAAAATCACCGATACAGTAGCAGCAAAGGGGGATGGGAGACTGTTTGACAATATGAAACTAACCCAGAAGCAAGCGACTCTGACGATGAGAGCAAAATTAATAAAGCAGAAAACAGGGCGTTACGTAAACGCAATTCAAAAGGAAAAACAGGCTACTGCTAAGCCTAACAATAATTATGTATCGAGCGCTCCTTCTCAATTTTATGCTACTTTTCCAGCAAAAAATCAGCCCTTTCTTGACCCCCAGTCATGGTACAACGGACAAGCCTTGCACCATGCTCAAGCCAGCACGAGTGGTAATCAGCGACGAAATCAACACCAATGAGCTTGTTATAGGTGTGGACCGTTCCAGCACTGGATAAACCAATGTCCTTTCAACCCAAGACCCGGCACCATGTCGAAACCAAAATTCATTAAAAGATGAGTATAGTTTGAATTTTTTACCTGATAATATTGCGTCAGGTTTTTCGATCAATGAATCTGATAATTTCAGCTAATGATTATTACGAGTATGAACAAGGCCAAGCAAAATCATTGTTAAGGACAGGCTAAAAATCACTATCTATTTTGGAAAAGTATAGGATACTATGATTTTATTTTGGACACCATTTTGAACGGTTACAAAATTCCTTTTTACAGTACTCCACCATCTATATGTTTACAAAACAATCGATCGGCAATCATCCATAGCGAGTTTGTCACAGAAGCTATGCACGATCTTTGATTAGGGGATTGATTGAAGAATGTGACATTCAACTACGTATTATAAATCCACTTACAGTTTCTGCGTCTAACAGTAAAAAGAAACGTCTTATTTTAGATCTCAGACATGTAAATAAATATCTTTGGAAAACTATTGTAAAATTTGAAGATATTCGCATAGCCTTGTAATTTATTACAAACAATTCTTTCTGTTTCAAGTTTGATGTTGTGTCAGCATATCCATATATAAATATTTTTATACCACATACAGATTTTTTGGGGTTTTCTTGGAAGTATGAAAACACTGTGAAGTGGTAAACATTTTTAGTCCTTCCTTTTGGGCTATCTTCAGCTTGTTATATATTTACCAAGATCACCAAACCACTTATTAAGAAATGGAGAGGTGAAGGTAAACAAGTTGTTTTAATGTACTTAGATGATGGTTAAGGTACTCACACAGACGAAGATATTTGGTCACCTATGAAACATTTGGTATTCTTGGGTTATTTAATTGACAGCTACCAGGTATGGTAAAAATACCGGAGAACAGAGTTCAAAAGGTTCTAAAAACTATTATTGACATTAAATATTACACATTAAAATACCGAAAAGCTCACGCTAAATTGGTTGCCTCTTTGGTGAGACAAATAGTATCAATGTCATATGCAATGTTGCCTATGATATGTCTAAACATTTAAGTATTGATATTTTAGAGAAGACTTCATGGAATAGTTGTATCGTGTTATCAAAAGCAAGTTTAGTACAAATTAATTTCTTGAAAGAAAACTTAGGGAGAGTAAATATTAAAAATTTACTTCTGATTTTGCATGTCAGTCTGAAGTTTACAGCGATGCTAGTACTACAGGATATGGCTGTTACATTGTAGAAACGCCTATTAAGTCTACTAAGAGTTCTACGTGGAAAGAGCTCAATGCCGGTAAACATATTCTTTTATCTGTGGTAGATATTTTGAAGACTAAACGAATCAAATGGTTCAGTGACAACCAGAACGTATTCAATATTGTTACCAAAGGTAGTATAAAACCTGAATTACAGGATATTGCTCTGTGCATTTTTGAAAAAAATTGTTTGACACATCATATATCTATCGATGCGGAATAGGTTTCTAGATCTTTCAATGAGAAAGCGGATTACATTAGTCGTATTATTAATTACGACGATTGGGGTATTAGGGAACATTTGTTTACGTATTTAGATTGCCTGTGGGGACCCCACGAGATAGACGAGATGACAATCACAAGTTACCTGTATTTTATTCCCATTATTGGACGGTGAAGTCGATTGGTATTGATTCATTCACTATTAACTGGAATGGTGTGAACGGCTGGTTTGTATCTCCCGTCAGTTTAGTATCGAAAGTCATTCGTTACATGAAGCTATGTATGGCGCATGGAACAATTGTTTTGCCTTTATGGAAAACGGCAAGATATTGACTGATATTATCTCCCACTGATGATGGGTTTGTTAAAGAGGTGAAGGCCTGTATTGACTTACCCACTTAACAAGGAATTCTGTACTCCCGGTAAAGGAAATAAATCAGTATTTGGAAATATTGATTTACCCTTTAGGGTGTTGGCTTTGAAAATGGTTTTTGAACCTATCAGCTACTAATATTTTAAAGCTTTCAATTTTGTGGTGGTTTATTTCAGCTATATATCGGTGTTAAATGTGTTAAATTCATATTTTCTAGACAGTCTGAATGACATTTTAGTGAAAGAAGATGTGTATAAAACATTAGTAAATAAGTACTAAGTTACATAAACTGTTTGTATGTATAATGTACTAATGTATTTTTATTTTAACGTATGTTTTTGCAGGCTTTCGAAAACGACCTGTTAGAATAACCTGCTTCATTGGTTGACAAATTTTCCTTATTTCCTGATCTGTTAACGGAGATTAAATTTAGCAACACAGTTCAAAATTATTATTGTGGTTTTTAAAGATGGAAAAAATGGGCTTTATCGAATGGAATATCTAGTGATTTTTTTTACAGGCCAAACGAATTAATGTGGCTTTATATCTAGCATGTTTAGTGCAACAATATTATACGCCCAGTCCTTTCAATCAAGCTTTTTATAGCATTAGATGGGCACATAAAATTACAAGTGAAATTTCTCCTATTGATTCTGATGTGGTGAAAAATATTCTGGAAGGAGCTAAGAGATGTCTATCAGTTCCGATTAAGAAGAAGGAGCCTATAACTCCAGTAGTGCGTTTGCAGATGTTTGATAAGTTTTATTGTGAATATAATCTATATAACCAGCGTACTATTTGTGCTTGCTTGTTATCGTATATTCGCTTTTTACGTGTGTCCGAATTGTTGAATCTTAAAAACTTTTCAAAGTCATATGTCCGTCTTTATGAAGAAAAGTAAAACTGATTATTACAGAGATGGCGATAGAATAATTATCGATAGAACCGGGAATAAATTGTGCCCCGTAAAGAATTTAGAGAGGTATTTGGAATGGAGTTATAATCAAACAGATTGTGATTTATATTTATTTCGGAATTTGACGAAATCTAAGCATAGTTTTACATTCCGTAAAGACAACAAACCTCTATCATATACAAGAATGAGGGAGCTTTTTATAAAAGTTTTCAGTCTGTTTGTGTCTAACATCAAATTTGGTCTCTATAATCTGAGAGCCGGTGGAGCATCTGCAGCTTGTAATTTTGGAATTTATGATAGACTTTTCAAAAGGCATGGACGATGGAAATCGGAGACTGCGAAATATAGTTATGTGAAGGACTCTTTTTCCGACAGAATGTTGGTTTCACTAAATTTGTGTCTCTAGATATATTTTTGAATAAATCTCTATTTTTCAGACGATTTTTCCTTTCTTTGGCACAGCAGCGGCGTTGTCGTGTAGCTTTGCACTTTAATTATGAGTTTTTTGTATTCTTCATATTATAACAGTATGTTATTTCCTTTACATGGTTTTTCAAAAGCAAACATTATCATTGGGTGACATATATGAAACTAGTATTTTGGAGTGAAGTTCATTTAATACAGAATGAAGGTTGTTACAAGAGAAATATAATTTCATACGGTTGAACGTGGTGAATTAGAGTGAAATTATTTTCTCTTGTCTTTTTCATTATGTACAGGTGTCGTACCTATCTTACGGCCAGTTTACCGCCAAAACGGGGGTTTCGGTCATTCAGCACGACAGCACCAAAGCGATCGGTTCTCAAATTACTTGGTAAATTTTAATTTATTTTAATTAGTTCCCCCTTTTTTTTAATTATAAATAAGATAAGATTGATAGGACTGGAGGGTTGTTTTTCTTTTTGGTATTATGTTGTGTGAAGTATATATTTGTATATATATACATATGTGTTTGTTGAATGTTCATGTGTAACATATTCAATAAACTGAGCAGTGGCGTTGTCTTGTAGATTTGCAATTTAACTATGAGTTTTTTTGTTTTCTTCATAGTTTAACAGTATGTTATTTCCTTTACATGGTTTTTCAAAAGCATACATTATCATGGGGTAACGTACATGAGACTAATATTTTGGAGTGAAGTTCTTTTTAATACAGAATGAAGGTTGTTACAAGATAAGTTTATTATTTTAGTTGGTTTGGTTTGTCTTTTGTGTATTTCATATTCTGCAATTCTGTGACCTTTTTATAGCACTGTACGGTATGGGTTCTGCTTACTTTTGAAAGCCGTTATGTGACATGAAGTTGTTCTCGTCATATTTCTCTTGTTTTTGCTGGATATTTGTCTCCTTACCTATCATACTAAAATATCCGTATTTTTATATTTCTCACTACAAGTATATATAAAAAGAAATATCATCCTGTTTGATACGCACACTTCACGTTACAGTAACATTGTGAGAGTTTTCGTTATGCAATTGTAGTCATTGTTTAATGCGTTGACAAATGACGAAATATCTTAATTTTTTCACAAACATTAAACAGTCGTTATTTTAAATTTGTGAGATGGCATGATGAAGTTGAAATTTTGCTCATTTTTTTTTCTAATATTGTCGTTTATATTCATAAGTGTATGATAGTACGAAACCTTTATTATCATTTATTTTGAAATAATTGTTGGTGTAACCAATGTCATATATTACTAAATTCTACTAAAGGGACAACTAAACACAACCTAATGAAGTTGATAGCTAAATGTTGCATTAAGGTGGTATTTGTTGATTTGAAGATAAAAGTAGTCCATATTTTGTGCTAAAAATAAGATTATATAATACTTACTACATCTACTGGCCCTTGTCTTATCTAAAGTATCATTACAGTTAGCTGCTGTAAGTCCATTATTGCCTTCCTTACAGTATAAAGTTGTGCATTTCCTATTGTCATTTTCAGAAACATTCCCACTGAATACTAAATATGGAAATATGTTACAAAATTATAAAACTTTAAATTTCGAAGATAATGTAAATTAAATCTAGAAATACAATGTACAATGGTATCTGCAGAAAGGTTTTCACCGCTAACATCTACGTTATTTGGTGATAGTTGTCTCATTAACATTTCCTTATTTTATATGCACTGAGTAGGCAAATATAAAATGTAATAAAAGTCCGGGCAAAGAACAATGCAGTTCAACAAATATAGGATAATTAATGTATTTATCTGCATTTGCTTTGGAATTAACTGTTGAAATCGTATATCTTAAACTGCAAATTAGTAAAACTGCTTTGTAAAGTTTAGAATAAGTGGGACTATGTTATTTTCACATTTACAGGTTAAACGATTATATTTTTTATTTCGTGTACGTGATTATGCTAAAGTGTGTAATTTACAGTGAATTGTACCTACCTTTATAAACGAAGAAATATATTGAATTATTTTTTTCTATGCAATTCGTTATATTGTAGGAGCTACCTTTTTTATGCAGACAGGAACATATTTCTGTCGACTCCTGTAGAGATAATGAAAAATATTATCTAAAATCTAGGGAAACAAAGAAAAAAACATTTGAGTTAAAACAACTAAAGCTTGAATACTTAAATGCAAAAACCGCAATATACGAAATAACTAGTCAATAGAAAGCTTTTTGCATGTTTTGGTGTAGATATAATTTTTACCAGTTATGACATGATAAAAAATCTAATTTGCATCGAAAGCATATTATTGTGGGGCATACGCGTATAAAACAGTAGGCGGAATGTATCATGAGGATATTAAAAACTCATAAGTCGAAAAGAAACTGACAACTCAAAGGCAAAAAATCTCCTTTGGCCAAGTAATCAGAGATCCATGTTTTTAGTTGTTTACCTTAGGAGTGGTACATTTGATTGACATGGAATAAATAGTTGAAAGACCAAATCTATCCGTGCGTCATATGTTATCTTCAATTTTTTGAAATAACATTTGATTGTTTGTAAAGCTAAGCTAAAAATTGGTAAAAACACGTATATATTATGAGATTTTGAATTTTCCTCGGAGTTCAGTATTTTTGTGATTTCACTTTTTACTTTCAACTTATATATGCAACAGCGGTATACTACTGTTGCCTTTTTTTTGCATAGTTAACAGTCGGTTTGTCCGGTATAAAATTGGGAAGGGGAAATAACGTGTGTTAAAATTGTGTAATTTTAGAACCAAATTCATAATTGACAAATAGACTATTGAAATTGATACCACTATCTTTCAAAAAATTATCGAACAAAAGTCCTATACGACCTTTAGCAATGAGCAAATTCATACCGTGTAGTACATATAAGCTAAAAAGGCACTGTGATTTCAAAATATCAAAAATACCATGTCCCCCCCCCCCCAAAAAAAAAACAAAAAACAACAAAACAATGGATGACAATAAAAACCAAAAATAACTGGAATACAGTCTCATTCAATGGTTCAACATGCTAATGGACGTTAATTTCGTGCATTCATTTCAGTATTTAATACTTACACTGTAACCGAAGAAATGATAAGATTTACACTGGTTTTGGCAAACTACAATTGAAGGACTTTTATTGACATCCTGTCCGTCTGGCACGGCATAACAGCCTGTTTAAAGACACGTTGAAATTAAAAAAAGATATTCTGTCAAGATACAATATAATCTGACTTCCCGGGAAGATTACCCAAAAAAATTGTTTTTGCTATTTATGTCTGCGTTACCGATCGCCATTAAAATACAATGGATTTTGTAATTGTATACAACAGATTTTAATGAATTGTAAGAATTCATAATTTTGAAATTTGACATGCTTAGATTATCATGCCATCAATTTGATTGTATCACGTACCCAAAACTTCAATCCACGGTGTAGTTACACGATAAATGGCCATGCCTATCCAGAATTCATTATCATACAGCACGTTAATATTTGTCAGCACCTTTTCGTCAAACTCTAATCCATTACTGCCACATTCGTCAGAAGCAGCTTTCCAGGTTTTTCTGTTTGTGTGATAAGCTTGGTCATATGGAAAACTATTTGCTAGAATAAAAACATACATTCTTTGTATACTAATATGATAAAAAAAAAAATACAGAATTGACTGTTAATTACATTTTCGTTTTTCCATTTTCTACGTGTTGACGTAATGTGTTTGTACAAGAGTGAAGAAATTGTTAATTTTGAGAATTCGGTCTATTCCAATACAAACATTCCCTTTGAAATCAGCTGGAAGTGAATGACAAAAGACGGCAGCTATTGATTGCCCTTACTTTGACCAATTGGTTCGTAAAAGATTAATGACGAGATGTCTACGTATTTTTAAAGTGTATACATGAATGAAATGCTAGTGTGTTGGAGGAAGAGGTTATACAGAGCAGACAACATACGCATTGCAGACAAATGTTAACGTCAACAGAACAGAATTTTTTTCTAAAACAGTCAAAAGTCTATCAGATGTATGTGTTATCAAAGATGTAAAGATTTGTCATCCATACCAGTGAGGTAGGGCAAAACACCCCCGTGTTTGTTTCACTTATAGGGTTGAAATCTAAAACTTATCCTACTGAAAGTCCAATATAAAAGAGCATATGTCATATACCGATTTATTTAAAATATTTTACATGATTCCGTCAAATTAAAACTTTACTTAGTGTTGCTGTTGAAGTTAGCTTGGTACACAGTTGAAAGTTTTACAACATTTATAATTGAATACGTCTATAACAAAAAAAACCAATGTATCTCAGAAAGACAATATGTAGCTTACTTTCAACAAAATTTTGCTTTTGGCAATATCTTTATTACTCATTTGTTGTATTAATGCAGTAAACATTTGTCAAAATTAGTAAAAAAATTCGTTTGGAGATAATTTCTTTTTAACACTCAAATTGATTCTTTATTGCACATATTGCTGTTTTAACAATAAAACTTGGTGTACAGCATTCCATCAAGTCTCCCTGCTAAATTTACTACTAAATATCCAGGGAGAATATTCAGTAGAATTAACAATAAATAACATTGGTACAAATATCTGAATAAATAAATTACTGTTACAGACAGTCTTTATTAATACAAAATTTGTATATTATTTATATTTATAATAATATCTGTATTATTCCAATATCTATAATTACACAAGTTTGTCAGTATTTTTACGGAAATTGTTCTTTACTCCGGAATTGGTTTTTTACACTATCTGTAATGTATCAGAAACGAAATGCGGTCAGTGACCTCGCACGTTTTTTTCAATCTTTCAATGAGAATACATAATTTTCAATCCTGGTGTTTGGATATATTATTTAATGTTTTGAAAATTTGGAATAATGATTCGAAAAGGTAAGTTGTTGTACTAATATAATTTTGTGTTTACAACTTAATTATTAAATAGATTCGTTATTGATTTGACCCAAATAAATATTGTGTCGTGACCTTTACCTATCAAATGTTTGTAAACATTTAAAACATGGGGTTCATAGTACAGCACCAATATATTCAAAGATCACACACACGTCTACATATACCAATTCATCTGAATTATCCACAGGAACATACTTTGGTACATGCATACTTTTGCAATAACAACATTGTACAATGTACAACATCACATGCCTCTTCTTTTTTCTACATGTATGTACAACAAAAATACTTTCTGTAGCTCTATTAATAATACCAGCTTAATTTTATAAAATTATATCAATTTCTGCTCAGAGTATAGAGCCCTTTTTTTAGTAAACTATTTGATACATACATTTCATACTGTTTTATTTTGTACTCATTTCTTCATATCAGAGGTGAATTATTAAGCTAGTCCAAACAATTATGAGTCTCAAATGATCAACCCAATCACTCTTCCTTGACACCTTCCTACGACGTAGGTAAACCTCACAGAAAAAGTAACTAAATTAGCCCTTCAAGACGTCACAACCATTTGGACGAATTTGGAGATAATTTCAGGCGTTTTTAATTTAGTGTTCTGTTTACAAATAGGTCATAGCTAATATACTGTGAAGTTAAATTAAGATGGGGAGTGACTTTTTGAAATGACCCTGAGTTCAATTAAAATCAGGGGAAATTGGCATTACCTCTTTCCTAATAACAATGTACATGTGAGTGTCTTGAATTTTAACCCCTCACGTTGTAATCTGGATTTAATGGCTTTATCAGAGGCCTTTTTTTAGAGGAGAACAAGATGCATAACCTTACATATACAAATCTAATTGATGTATAATTAGATTTACTAATGGTAATTGAGGTGTTTTTTTTTGTCATTTGGAGAATTTGTAAAATATGGCAAATCCCGATTTGTAAGTGTTGTAGTCTAAAGATTTTGTATAATCACCTGTTACATTATTGAAGACCATATTTTAACCTAAGAGGCTTTTAGGTTGCTATCTTTTTGAGGTGTACGTATACTGTACAACTGTTTTGATTAAGTTATAGGGAATGTAGGTTCAGACTACGGAAGTTTTTATGTATGTTTTGTTAGCAAATAAATAAATTACACCTATATTTTTGTTGATATTTTATATTCATAAGTATATATTTAACATAATATACAATGTAGATAATTTATTTGGGGATTGTCAAAAGTAATACTTTACAAGACTTATGCATTTAAGAGCGACGGATATAAATTTTGTGCAGGGTTGTTTTTCATTGAAATCTTTCTCGAAATTCGTTTATCGTTTGAAAAAAAATCATATAGTCTATAGGATGGTAATATTTATACATTTTTTGTACTGTTATTGCAAGAACCGCTATAAAGATCATTTAACGGCAAACACGATTTAAATATATTTCACAAGCTTTATATATCATATTGCAAGAGCACTTTATATCTCTTTTTTTAGAAAGATTTATAAGTCAATTTTTTTCACATATGTTTATCTAATAAACAAATTAAGTGTGTGTTGAAATTTCAAATATTGTTAGAAAAGGGATTGAGATCATACGGCAAAGGCGGAACAAACGTATAATACTGGAAAAGATAAAACTAACAATGAATATAAAAATATATAAAAATGTAATCTTAAATTACCGTATAGTAATATAAGAAGTACAAACTGTTCAAAGAAATAAAATAGCGTCTAGATTTTAGAGGTAGCATTTACGTTTCATTTGCATATTTATTGGTAAGAGTTAAAAATGTACCAGTTACATCATGCAGGCAGCAATCCAACATCACAACAAACAAAAAAGATATCAGAAGTTGAAAATATACAAAAGTAACAATAAAAAAAAATGTAATTTGAAGAAAGTTAAATCACAAAAATACTGAACTCCGAGGAAATCTATAACGGAAAGTCCCTAATCAAATGGCAAAATCAAAACCACAAACACATCAAACGAATTGACAACAACTTTCATATTCCTGACTTGGTACAGGCATTTTCTGATGTAGAAAATGGTGGATTGAACCTGGTTTTATAGCGCTAAACCTCTCACTTGTATGACAGTCGCATCAAATTCCATTATATTGACAACGATGCGTGAAAAAAAACAGACATAAAAGGTAAACATGTAAAATAGGGGTATATCAGTCAACAGAATGTCACAATCTTAATCACAACAAAAACGAACAAATATTTAACAAAGAAGCACAAAAAAGCATATATTACATTGAAGAACCTCGTTCATTACTTACTTATATAATTTTATTTTATTTATGTATGTCAAATCAACCTATAAAGGATCGAGAATTTTTAAGCTCTGGGACCGAATCGTAATTTTAAAATTAACTCTGGCGTAGAATAGCGTGTTTGACGTCAGAATGTAAACGTCACACAGGTAGCAATATAAAATAATTTTGTTGTTCAAACTATGCAATAATTATAATAGAACAATAACACAATGGCGGGATGTTTAAAGTACAGAAACACGTCATATGTATCAAAGAAACATAAAAAGTCACACGGACAACTGATTTTCAAATCTTTTTCAGATGTTATGCTGTTTACCTTACTGTCCACTGTTAGGGGAGAGTTAAACGATCACAAACTTGTATTCCACGCCCCCCCCCCCCCCACTCCCGTATTCTTTCTTAGCATATCCCAAGTCAGGAGCCTACATATACTTATTTTTTACAACAACTAAAACAATAGAAACCTACATAAACATATAAAGTAAAGTTTGAACAAATAACTCCATAAAACAAAAGCTATGACATAAAATGCATACCTAAGTAACCTAAACCTTATAGCAAATAACAATATTAAGTTTGAACGTTTTGGGTGGTGCAACCGAATTGTATTTGTTATCTTTCAATCTTTTAATCATATTATCTGAAAACTCCTTCTGCCTCACACACTCAATAAAACACAAAATCTTACATAATCATATGATCCTTGAATATGTTGTGGGTTTTGCTATATTGATGGACATCCAACATGGCCGTTAGTGCTAATAATACATTCTGATTGGCCTAAATCAATATCTATTCCATTTCAAATTGTTGTGTAGTGTTACATTGTAAAATAAACAAAGAACCATTGACTGTCTTGTGTAGTGTTCCTTTGGATGGAGATTTAATAAAAATATCTCATAGTAATGAGAAAATATTTTCCTTCTATTTGGACGTGAAAACATTTTTTGTCACCTGTCTACTAGTATTTACTTGTTCTTTAATATTCCCGCCGTTTGCTACATTCCTTATGTCAAATTTTAAACAAAATTAGCCAGTGGCTTCAGAGAGGCCGTAAAAAATTGTATGTTCGAACTAAACTCCAAGGCCCGTGGTAGATATAAAGATGTTTGGTCAAACCAACCATTTTTATAAGTATTCATGGTTTGTTTCCTTGTCAACTGCATTAAAGTGTCAGAGCTTTATTAAGTACTTTTACCATTTAAGACAGCGGTAAAACATAGTATAAAACCCACCAAGGGTGCTAGATTTATAGTTTCAACTTAACATGTAATTATGATAAAAGATGACGTCCGCTATGTTTGATGCTTAATACATATAGCGTTTGCATTACAAATAACGTTGGAAAGCCGACGCTACTAGACTATGAAATACAACATTTGAATTACTATACATGTATTTGTGATCAAAAGCGAACTTATTACTGGTGGGCTTTTTATTAAACACAGCAGACGTTCATTACTAGATCAATATTTCATCAGTGCATACACGTTTATTTATGTAATCATAAAACATGGTCAATTATGAAAGTTTTTATACAATGCAGCTGTTCAGTACAAGTCGTAAATAAAATATATGCATATCTCTACATCTGCAAGCTATACACATCTTTTGTGATCTGTGATGTAGCAATACAGAAATACATAAGCATCCAGGGACAAAAGTATTAATTACAGGAACAGAAATAAACATTCGATTGGCTATTTTTCAAAAACTATGATGTTGGGCAACTTAGCGACACAGGATACATAAGGAATGATTAATATACCTTTTGTAGTTCTTGAATATTACAGACAATTATCAATTGTTCAGTTATTTATAATCGGAAGAAATATTTCCGAGTATATATTGACATTGATTTGAATATACCATTTGTTAATTTTGTATTGAATTGATAAAAAAAGAGTAGTCATAAAAACATGAACAGATGAGGAAGCATTGCATAAGGTGTAAACAGATGGCTATCAGTAAATGTTCGTGAACAATGAAAATAAAACATTTTTTTAAATAAGGATAGTCCATTTCTGGTTTGAATATTTTCACTGAAGAGGGCAACACTTTTCTTAAACATATTTCAATAATATACGTAAAAGATTTGTTTACAAAACTATTCACCTATATCCTTAACACCATAAATAAAGACCAGCGCATTGTATTTGATATACACATTTTTTGACAATATCATATTGGATTGATGATAAAACATTTTTGTGTACTTACCATTCACACACTTTATATCTATAACAAAAGCAAATATGATAATCCACAACATTTTTTCATTCATTTAAAACCCCTGTATAACCCCCAGCCACAAAACACGGAAGTAGATCTGGTAAATAAAAGTCATTCAAATCAAGTCGATTGTTTAAGATCTCGTGTTAACAAAAGGTTACGCATTAAGGAAGTTTTATAATAACTTTTCATTGGTTTCCCATGTATGTTACATATTTTGATAACTGAAACTACTGAAGCATATACTAGTAAAATTGCAATTTATAATGTTCATATCATTTAAGTTTAACCCAAACGAAGTTAGCTATTTTGATCTGTCAATCACTGTATACTGTAAAACCCTTTGATCATTCGACTACCTCATAAAATCTTGCTAGGCACCTTGACGCATATATAAATGCATGCTATTGCAGTTTGCTTTTCCTGTAAACCGGATTATGCGCTATTTTTTTTTAACAAAATCAAATAAATACACAAACTGTACTTTGGTCAACACTTTTACATTTAGGAACCCTTGCTTCTAAGTAAGCAGCAACCATCTATCATGTAGATCAGAATAACAATCACATCTTACTAACGACGAAATATATATATACCATTAATTACGACATATGTGTATATATTCGTCTGTGTGAGAATCACCAGAAGCGATTGATTTTAAACTGATGGGAGATCAAATCAATGACAAAACAAAAGAGCATATAAAAACCAAACTCCCAAAATTGTGCACAATCTTGATTAGCTTATTCACGCCTACGGATGGACGACAAACATGTTTTTTTCATTTGTCGGCTACCCGATCTTGTGTGTTTTTATGTATAGCATACCGTCTTATTAATGTCGAGTCAGTGGAAAACACACCTTTACAAAACAAAATGATTTCAGCTTCCCAATTGTTAACTTTCCATGTCCATTTAGCAACATCCCAGCAGTGTCTGCATATAGAGTATTTATCTCCCAGTTGATAATATATTCCAGAGCTTGCATTCCCTATCATGATTTCCTTTGCTGCCTCCGATGAAGCTATTAAACTAAGGATGAAGTTAAAGTCATTCTTTCAAAAGTTTAACGGGCGCCGTCGTTGTTTGACCGTTATAGAATATCTGTTTCACAAAGGGCAACCGACATGTTCTTATTGTCGTTTCCTTAATACTTTTTTCTTTGAATGTGAAATCTTCTTATTAGACTTATCATCGAGTTCGTACTCATATTAGCAGTGCTTCTGTAATACACGTACATTAGGATCTGCTTACCCTTCCGGAGCTCCTCAGATCATCCCTGGTTTTGAATAAAAGGAGTTCGTGTTGCTCTTGCTTTAGTTTTGAGTGTTCTTCTTTGTGCTTTTTAATATTTTTAATTTTTATGTTGTTTTTACCGTAAACAGTATGTCTCTCTCTTGTCATGAAAAACGCGTTTAGATTTTAAAATCGTACAATCGGCCAAGTTTCATGTGTAGAAAACTTACATGACAAGTTTACAAAACTGATTTCTTATATATAAATAATGTTAACAATGTACTATTGCGTATTGCCTTATGACTTGATATAACTAATCAAAGTAATTCATAGGAGTGATCCAGCGGTTTTAGGCGAAGTTAGTGTTGCTCATTTTTATGTTTTTCTATGTTATGTCATGTATACTGGTGTTTGTAAATTGGTCGTTTAAAAAAAGAAATGTTGCCATTGCTTTCTTTGTTATGTCATGTATACTGGTGTTTGTGAATTGGTCGTTTAAAAAAAGAAAATTAGCCCATGGCGATGTCAGATTGTCATCAACTTATGGATATCCTTTTAGTATCTTCTGCCTCTATACATTATGGCCTTTACATAGTTGTTTAGGTACTGACATATAATTAAAAAAAAACTTCATACTATCGGTCTTTCATTTGATCAATCCGGACAACCTTCGGTGAGTTATAAGAAAATAAAAAATAAAGCCTTAAAGTATGCATTATAACATAGCTCTGATATCTTTCCGGGTTCAGCTCTGCTTTTTGGCCATTTTTGTTTTATCAACTCTTCAATGGTTTTGGATATTCAAATATTTTGGCCTCACGCATCACTGATGAGACATTTATGTCGAAATGCGCATCTGGTGCAATAATTTATTACGGTAAATTACTGAACGTATCATGTTTCAAGTTCTTCAGTTCCTGTCGGGAATAGGTTGGTTTTATAAAGATCTTGAATGTTCTGAAGTCACTAGTTATAATTTACCTCTGTCGTGTCGAACAATGCTAGGATGTCAATATGGAATCAGTACCAGATCTGTGATAAATATTTTGGCACTTTGTTTATTATTTTGAGTGACTTTAGAATCGCGTCAAAAGGATGCATGCACATCTGATGATACACACCATATCGACCTTAAACAATTTGAAAAACAAGTTGACTACGAAAATAAAATAAAATTAAAGCAATTTGTGTCAAATCTGAGAGTTATATTCATTTTCGTAATATTATCTTATAATGTATTTGTGCATATCGATATGTAGTAATTCATATTTTAATCGTTACTCGCATCAATAAACTACTGTCGCCTTAAATCATGAACTTAAGACTTAGGACAATTTGATACTTAAAGCGCATGTCTATAAAATCAAATTGATCTTAATAAATTTCCTGAGTCTAAAGCGCTTCATTATAATTACCTTCATCAGAAACGCTCAAACCCCTAAAATTTTAAAACCAGGAAGGATAAATACTTAAACACTTTAGGAGCACTATGATCAAGTTAATTATGATTATCAATTCCTTTATGTATGAATTTCATATAACAACCAAAAATTTCAATGATGAACACGTATAGAAAATAAGGCATATTCTCTCTGAACATACCACAATGGGGTAGAAATATAAAATTTTACAAGGAATTTTCAGATTGTTTTATTGTATTTAGAAGAAAAAAATTCACATTGACCAAATCCGTTGTTGTGTTGCAATTCTTGTCTTTGACGATGCTATTATTTCATGTTTTTCGTTGACATATATTGCATATATATATCAGTGTTGTTGCTCAAGTTTTTAGCATTATGATTGTTTTCTGCATATGTTTATCGATGACCCGATACCTATAAAGTTTGTTGTGTGGTCATGCTGCGACACTTGACTGGATATTTTAGTACACATAACATATAGCATCATACAACAATCACTTTCGCTGTATGGCGTCAAACATTTTTCCTTGTGACCTCAAATTCAACGAGAACGTTTAATTGTTTGTTTCTTCAGTGCTCTGAAATTTCGTTATTGATTTGGCTTTCCAACTGTTTTGAATTGAGTGCGTCTGATGACTTGTATTGGCCAAACAGCGCATTTCACTTATTAAATTTTAAGCCTTGTAATTTTAAATATACTATAATTAGTAAACAGATAGTGATGAGGTGTATTGACATGACCTTCCAACTGGTTTGATTGTGGCGATAGTATGCAAATAATGTAGACGAAACACGCAGCCAATGTATTTATGTACACACCTGATATTATTGACAACGGTTTATGTATAGATACATGGGGAATATATACGAATATAAGAATTTGAAATTATATTCAATGCAGATTAGCTTTTGTCATGAAAAATAAACACGAGTTTACCACTGCAAACATATGTATCCTCACAAGGTGATCTCTAATGTTTGAAGGCTATTCGAGATACAATTGTATCATGAGAACGAATTCATAATCGTACGTATTCTAAAATTTGATTTGAAGTGCTAGACTATTAAATCGCGTTATCAGAGAAAGACAAGCAATAGTTCATTAGCGGATCAAAGCAGACGCGCATATCTAAATGTATTACACTACACATAAATTAACTGCTCACAAATGTTTGCAAACGCTATTTAAACGATTTATATTGATTTAAGGTGAGATAATTGAGTTAATTTATTATACCCATGATTACTTGACATTCAATACTATAGGTATCTTATTTTTTGTATGGATGGACATTGTGATAAAACAAACTAAATAATGATTTGATTTGATTTTTGAATCTGACTTTATTCAAAGTAGTTAAAGTTACAAGGTTTCGGTTCTTTCAATAAATTTCGATATAACGTAATTTTCATTTTTGGAGGAAATCAGATATCTGACCAACATCCATCTCTCTTATCCGGCTGTATTCAGACAACGAAAAAATTATGATTTTCTATTGATGATATCACGTCGGACATATTCTTATTTCGATATAATGTTTCCATGTTTCTTATTTTCATTTACTTCTTCATATACTGGTGCACTGGATTCATTAATGTCACAAGGCTGGTCTGTTGTTGCTGTTAAACTTTTATGATTTGTTTTGTCAAGGTCTTCGTATGTTGTCGTTGAAAAATGCACACAACTAGTGTCTTCGTAATCATGAGTATTCAATTCTGTAAAAATCCCCTTTGATCTGTAAGCCAAAAGCACAAAAACATGATAAAGGTACAAAATAGAACTTAATGGCCTGATAAATAAAAAAAACCCAACTATTTTGAATCTATAAACTTGTATTGTCTGTATCATGTATTATTCAACAGTGTACATGTACATATACTGTAAACAAACTTATTTTCGCGGATACTTTACATTTTCAAATTAATTTTATGTAGTTAATTAAGAAAAGATCCAATTTTGACATTTTCACGTTATTTTTCTACAAGCGAAAGTTGAGAAAATAAATATCTCGCGAAGTAGTTGGTTAACAGAAACACATATATACTCAATATTGCTTTATCTATATATAACATTATACATATTTGTTATAAGGTTAAATCCAAACTATCCTACTGCCTGTCGATACTTTTATTTTGGCATTGCACAAGTCATGTCTTCTTTGACTGTCCATGGCGTTTAAACACTAAATCCTAGGGATGTGTTTTAATTGATTTTAGTTTCTGATGCATGATTTTTATTATTATTTTTGTTTGGCTTTTAACTAGCTTCCAGTAACTGCGAATACTCTCAAATCGTACGTTCGTGTTAATTTGACCTGTTACACAATTTGTAATGCATTTTTGTTATTCAATGTTTACTTATTTTGTGTTTTATCTCGTCTCACTATTTTCAATATGTATCACCTTTGATACGTATTTAGTATGACGATAAATTTAACTG